TCAGCTTCTTCCGCCGCGGGTAATGGCTCTCCGCCGAAATCTTTCGATTACGATTTGATCATCATCGGAGCTGGAGTTGGTGGCCATGGTGCTGCGTTACACGCCGTTGAGAAGGTAATTTTATTAGGAAACAAAGAAAGGACATTACGTTGTGAAATGCTAGATGCTCTGATTATATGAGCTCCTGATTATATGAGCTGGTAATAAAAACTGAGATTTATTCTGCAATCATAGATGCTCTGCTTATGACAAAAGAGAATGAGGAAGTGTAGCAAAATGCTAGTGAATATGCCCATCTGGATATCATGCTATAGTTTATTGTGTTTCTTTACGATTGATTATTTTCGATTTTATTTATGGATCCATTGGTGAATTTTTGTTTAGGGACTTAAAACTGCTATCATTGAAGGAGATGTTGTTGGAGGGACTTGTGTTAACAGAGGCTGTGTGCCTTCCAAAGCTCTTCTTGCTGTTAGCGGTAGAATGCGGGAACTACAGAACGAACATCACATGAAGGCCTTTGGTCTGCAGGTACTATCACACTGTTTCACTTTACACGTTCTCTGGCTATCTCCCTGTCTTTTGCACAAAACGTATCACATGATTGGAGATGATCGAGTTTGATGCCAATGAACCAGTGTAGAAATTACTCCTTCATTATCTTATGGTTTTTGTTTCGCCCTTGAAAACAGGTTTCAGCTGCTGGGTATGATCGACAGGGTGTGGCAGACCATGCTAATAACCTGGCTACCAAAATTAGAAACAATCTGACCAATTCAATGAAGGCACTAGGTGTTGACATATTGACAGGATTTGGCAGTGTTCTGGTCAGTACGTGCTTTTCTTTAAGGTTGACTAACTAGACAGAGTACATTAATTGTTTAACTCATGATCCTAACTTTTAAATTTTTGTATTTCTGAAGGGACCACAAAAGGTTAAATATGGGAAGGACAATATTATCACTGCAAAAGATATAATCATTGCCACTGGATCTGTGCCGTTTGTTCCTAAAGGAATTGAAGTTGATGGTACGTGTTTTGTTTTGAACGTCCAGTTGTTAAGGAACAAGCCTGAATAAATTCGTACATTTTTAAAGGTGCAAAAAACGATGATAATAACAAGCAGACTTGATTCCTTGAATGTTTATACTTTGGTGCTGCAGGAAAGACTGTAATCACAAGTGACCATGCCTTGAAATTGGAGTCTGTCCCTGATTGGATTGCAATTGTAGGAAGTGGTTATATTGGTCTTGAGTTCAGTGATGTTTACACAGCACTTGGAAGTGAGGTAACAACATGATGTTTATGTACTAATGGTATTGCTTTAGTACGATGTTTGTCCTTGTAGTGAGATGTTAAGGGTGAAGCCTGAAACAACTTGACAATGTTCTCCATTTGCTACTCTTTGTTTAGTTTCTTACTGTATTGAGCTTGTTGTTGTACAATTAGTAGTAAAACGGGTTTTAGGATACTAATCTATTGGTTTCTGGATCTGAAATGAAAACATGTCATTTCTATGTTTTATTTTCCCTACCTTACAACAATAGTTAGTGACTGGAACCAGGACATCTTTTGCAGGTAACTTTTATTGAAGCTCTGGATCAACTAATGCCTGGATTTGATCCTGAGATCAGTAAACTAGCACAGAGGGTTTTGATAAACCCAAGAAAGATCGACTATCATACCGGAGTCTTTGCTAGCAAAGTGAGCCTGCTAAATCATGCTTTCTAAATACCGCTTTTCTTTCTCTATGCATTGTGTGTATGTTAAACATAAATCTATTCGTATACAGATTACTCCGGCAAAGGATGGGAAGCCAGTTATGATTGAGCTTATTGATGCCAAAACCAAGGAACCTAAGGATACTTTGGAGGTAACAAAATGTCAAATAAAAGATAGGGAGATCTGATGTCTTACAAAGAGAACATTTTAACAGTTACTTAGTATTCATGCCAGAGATTTTATATCACGGGTATACATGTGCTCTTGGTAGTTGGTCCTTAGAAGTCTTGTTTTTCATCCATTTTGCTTCTCACTGCAATATTAACCACATTTGTACTCTTCCCACAGAAATAGATGTATACACATTGGTGGATTTGTAGACTCTCATTTTCTGAATTTATTGTAGCTTTTTTCTCCCAAGAAAATAATAAAATTAGTAATGGCTTGTGGTTTCATCTCATTTTACTATGTGTTTTTCTGCGCTGAAAGTGTGAGCTTGATTTTCTTCTCCAGGTAGATGCTGCTCTTATTGCTACTGGAAGAGCTCCATTCACCAATGGTCTTGGCTTAGAAAATGTATGAAATGGCACTTAATCGCAGCCCCTTATTGTGTGATAGTATTTTCATTTTGGTTACCTGTGAATATTTGGTCTTTGAAGAAATAACCATGAAGTTGTCATTTGAACACAGGTCAATGTTGTGACGCAGAGAGGTTTCATACCGGTTGATGAGCGAATGCGTGTGATCGATGGAAATGGGACTCTGGTCGGTTTCATTTGCATATACAGACCCTTTATTTTACCAGCGACTCTTTCTATAAGTTAAAAATTCATTTTTGCTTAATAGGTTCCAAACTTATACTGCATTGGTGATGCCAATGGTAAATTGATGCTTGCACATGCAGCCAGTGCCCAAGGAATTTCTGGTAAATGGCTTATCAAAAGCCTACTATATAAATGCAGTGAATATTTTCCCTCTTTTTCTTCTTCATTGGCCTTGTATTAAACTCTGTGCTCTTACTTCTGTGGCTAGTGGTCGAGCAAGTCACCGGTAGAGATCATGTACTTAATCACCTTAGCATCCCAGCTGCTTGCTTTACTCATCCTGAAATCAGCATGGTGGGATTGACAGAGGTACGTCTAGTTACTTGGTTCTTTTTAGACAAAAAAAAAAAGAAAAATGCAAGGAGCAATCTGCTTACTGTAACCCCTTATTTTTTTACATAATTTTCGCGATTGTCAGCCTCAAGCAAAAGAAAAAGCGGAGAAGGAAGGGTTTAAAATTAGTGTTGCCAAGACAAGTTTCAAGGCTAACACAAAGGCCCTAGCTGAAAACGAAGGAGAAGGAATAGCTAAGGTAGTTGAAACAAAAGTTGTTGATTATTTATGGCTCATGAAAGAAGAAAGATATATCATTTTCTTTGTTATGCAGATGATATACCGGCCTGACAATGGTGAAATCCTAGGAGTTCATATATTTGGACTGCATGCAGCTGACCTTATCCATGAAGCATCCAACGCAATTGCACTAGGAACACGCATTCAGGTAGGTTTTTCGATACTTTAGCTGCTCTCTTTCCCTGATCCATAGTGGATTTAGCTCTTAGCTTTTAATATTGATGATTCCCAGGAAGGAAATCTAGCCATATACTTAGTACCATAGCTTCTGAAAATACTAAATGCAATTGATTATCTAAAGTTCGAATTCAGTTCTTGATCCCTGCATGGTTACTGGTATCTCTGCAGGACCTAAAACTGGCAGTTCATGCGCATCCAACGCTGTCTGAGGTTCTCGACGAACTGTTCAAAGCAGCCAAGGTAAAGGAAAACACTTTCTCCAAAACACACACAATGAGTCATCTAATCAGAGACTCATATGGTTAATTGCGATGAATAGATTCAAATCCCCAACTAAAAAGCAAAGAATTCTTACAGTCTTAAGTTCACTTTTCAGGTTGAAAGTCACGCAACGACAAGTACAGTAAGTGAAAAAGTGGCTGTGTAAAAAGAAATCAAAAACCTTATTGGGAGGGGAAAACATCTGTAAACTAGAAAAGTTTTTGTTGAAGAAAGAACATTTGTGGTTGTACTTTAGGAAGATGCGAAGATAAAGCTAAACACGAACCAGGATGATCGCAGAAGACAAAGGAGAGATGATGAGAAACAACCTTCAGTAAGTAAAGACTTAATAGCTAAATCTTCTACAAGGCCTTCTTCTTTCATAGAGACTATTTATGTTGGAGTCTTGTCTCTGGTTTCACGTATATTTGCTTAACTGTTTCATGGTTTCGAATAGGAGGAGAGATTGTGCTTTTGGTTTTTGTTCGTTTGTTTCTGTGGAAATTACTCTTTTCTTTGAATATATATATTTTTTTTTATTTCAAGTAAGAAAAAGATTAATAATAGATTTTGGAAGATTCTTCTGTGGAAAATTACACTAACCTTAGTCTTAAAACTCGTTCACTCTATCAAAATTCCTCAGATAGTAGGCTCATTTTGGTCGAAAAAACATAGAATGGCTTTTAGTGAGATTCATTAAAAAAAATTTGTATATATTTGGCGGAAAGTAAAAAGTTTGGTATTTTTTTTTGTTTTTCCAACATTGAGCATATTATCGAGTGTAACTAGAAAACAAATTCATGGTCAAACGGACCTACCAAGATCGAGGAGGAATAAACTCGAACTGGATCTTGCACTTGGAAGATCTCCACGTTTCTCAACCCCTTAATCAGATTCTTTGGATTGCTAATAGATCTCATCGAATCAAGAGTAAGCATAGCTTCCACAAAGGAGCCAAAATGAACAATTGGATACTCATCCGCAACATAATCACGGTATTGTAAGTAAGCAAGATTCGGAGTATCAAACGTAATGCGCCTAGAAACCTTACTTCCCTGAGAAGATTTACAATGAAGAGTAAGTCTCTCAAGGGTCGGACATGAAACCTTACGACATTGTTCTGAACCCCAATTAGTTTCACCAAGTATGGTTAATTCCTCAAGAACATGACAAGCAGAGATGTAAGTTTCAACCTCGCGACCAGAGAACCAAACACAATGAAGAAACAAGCTCTTAAGAGCCGGAAGAGAAGCATCCTTAGCAATCTCAATGAGGCTTCCTATTTTTAGCCTAACAATTGTCTTGCAAGTAAAGATCTCTAAAGGAAGGTTAATATTCTCTTCTCTGGTGCGTGTGTCAAGATCAAGATCCAATACACCACGGCTCATCACGTTAGTGATCCAACGACTGATATGAGCTGATTCAACAGATTGCCGAAATTTCAGAGAGAATTTCCTCATGGGAAAATTTCCTGACACAGCCAGTACTCTATCCACAAAATCTATGAAAGTCTTATTATAAGAGCCATATTGAATGAAACAAAGATGAAGATCCGGTGTGAAGGCAAACTGATTCCTCCATCTCTTTGAGAGAACATAAGTTAAAGCAGCTTCCGATCCTTTATCGAAAGAAAAGATAGAATATGGCTAACAATATCATTAGGTAGATTGCTGATCACAAACCCTAGAACTCCCTTTCTCTCAATCCCTAGAAATCCAAACCCTAAAATTCCTTTCTCTCAAAACCCTAGAAATCCCTAGCTTTGGCTAGAGACAACAACTGCATTAAAAGTTTGGTAATTTAATAAGCCAAAACCCATATATTGATAGATATATCCGGAAAAAATGGGATTTGGAAAAGGGTTAGAACTTAGGACCTATAACTTATTTCCATTACAGTTTTGATCATTGAACAATCAACGACGATGTTATCCGATCTTCCAAGAGATTTGGCTGAGGAGATTCTCTCATGGCTTCCGGTGACATCTCTGAGAGGAGTACGATCAACATGCAAAAAGTGGAACACTTTATCCAAAAATCGGAGCTTTACAAAAGCAACAGCAATGAAGAAGCAGAGCAACGAGTTTCAGGTGGTGATGATGATCCAATATAGGATTTGTTTATTCAGCGTCAATCTCCTTAATCCATCTATAGATCGTATAGGTAAACTCATTAGCCTAGACGATGAAGATCGAGTCGAGATCTCTACCATCTTTCACTGCGATGGTTTATTGCTATGCGTCACCAAAGACAGATCTAGGCTTGTTGTTTGGAACCCTTATACTGGCCAAACAAGGTGGATCGAACCTAGAACTTCTTACCACATGTTGTTGGACAGGTACGCTCTTGGATACGAGAGCAATAACCAGCACTCGCTTCGAAGCCACAAAGTCTTGAGATTTATTGATGATCAAGACCCGTATGTGAATGTGAAGCACCTACTTCGTGAGTTTGAAATCTACAATTTAGACTCTAATTCATGGAATGTTGTTCATGTGAATCCGGACTGGGATATAAATCATCATCAACGAGGCGTGACTCTCAAGGGAAACACTTACTGGTATGCCCAAGGCAAGGTCCCAGACGATGGTCCATCAGAGATATCAGATCTCCCTGATTTCTTAATCTGTTTTGATTTTACAACCGAGAAATTCGGACCGCGTCTGCCTCTGCCTTTTCACGTTTTTGATGAGTTAGTGACTCTATCCAGTGTTGGAGAAGAGCATCTTGCTCTGCTATTTCAGCATGGTCTTGCATACAACGTGAAGATATGGATCAGTAGCAAGATTGAGCCCAATGCAGTGTCCTGGAACAAGTTGTTCTTATCGGTTGATATGAAACCACTGATGAGTTTTACGTTTTTGGAAATAGGTGGGAGTTTCTTCGTTGACGAGAGGAAGAAAGTCGTGGTGGTTCTTGATAAAGACAGAAGTAGACGTGGCCCCACTCGCAACATAGCTTACATCATTGGAGAGAATGGATACTTCAAACAAGTGGATCTCGGCGAATCCATAGACGCAGGTTGTTGGCCACTTGTGTGCACTTATGTTCCAAGCTCAGTGCAAATCAAGTAACTTGCATCAGAAGGCAACCAGAGCACACCCTAATCTTGTTTTTGGTGT